CCTCCATCTTTGATTTACCTTTGTGGCTGCGCTTTTAGTTCTGACGAGGTGGCAGCGGTTCTGGGACCCGATGAAGACGGGTGGATCCAGACGGTTCCGAAGGCTTCAGGCGGCGGATCCAGACAAAACTAAACGACTAATGATGAAACGAAATCTTTAATCATTAATCAGCCGGGTCTGGTTCTGGAGCTGCTGGGTCCAGAACTTGACTGAGATCCGTTCCTCCGGAGCATGAAGGTCCAGAAACCTGTAAATATTCACCTTCATCGTCTTCATCAGCCGACCCGGCGCTTCCTGAGCGGGTCGGTTCTGAAAGTGCCAATACGGACCGAGGACGCCTACAGAACCTCCGCTGATCAACCCGCTCCATAACGGTTCGACTTCCGCAGATGGTTCCTGAGAAGCTGCTGAGTTAACAGATGGTTGCTATGGTTACCTTCTGTTAGACCCACACGTCCATCTTTACGAGTCGGTTTCCTGTCAAACGGGGACGGATGGCTCCGGTTCTGGAGGCACGTTGAGCAGAACCCTCTGGTCCAGTTTCTCCAGAACCATCCAGTGGGCGTGTCTTTCTGCCTCCAGGGCTCTGATTGGTCAGAGGGAGACAGGGAGGCCAACGATTGGACGGAGAAACCCAGAAGGTTCTGAATATCTCATACTCTGAGCCGAACATTCGACAGACCCGGTTCCACGTGGAATGGTGGTTCTGATGGAAAGGATGCTGAGCAGTGCAGGTCCAAGCAGAACCGCGTTCTGGTTCTGGTACCATCTAAGGAGGGCTAAGAAACCCAAATGAAAGAGGAAAGTTTGCTCTTGGTTCTGAACAGAAGTTCTGTTACGAAGACAAATGGGACGAACCGAAAGGTTTTGAAGTCCAAAAACATCAGATTGAAACCAGATGAGGAGAAGATGGAACCGTTTGGACCTCGGTACCGGTCCAAACACCGACACTGGGCCTGACATCGGTTCTGGTTGCAGGAGGAATGAGAGTTTAGCTTTGAGCTGGTTTTAACCCGGTTCTGATCTAACTGGACTGTTCCCGGTCCGGTCCAGTTCCTCCTCCTTTCAGTGGTTCCAGAACTGGATCAGCTGCAGTGCTGACCCGGTTCTGATGGCCTCTAGCCATCCTGCAGCTTCAGCACTGGGACCAGTTCAGCTGGTTTCACTGGTCTGTGAATAAAACTCTGGATCCGGTGGATTGTGGACCTTGTGACGGGCAGCGGTACCAGCTGGAAGCTGCAGAGGTTCTGATGTGGGGCTCTGTTTGTGCTAAATGTTGTGAGCTAATATCTGCATCCATTCACTGATCAGCGGTTTATAATCCTGCTGGTTCAGATCTAACCAGTAACGCTAACCAGTAACGCTAACCAGTAACGCTCCTCATCAGCCGAAGCGCCGCCTGGTTCGCTTCTTAATGGTCGCCTCATCAGGAAGGATGGCTGAAGGCTGCATGGAGGTTTAAAAATTCTGCTTTTGGTGACAATAAAATATATCAAACCACTTTTTTCTCATTTTGTCCCATTTTAGCTACAAACTTCAGAAACATGAAGGTTTTCTGTGCGATCCGTCAGGCTCAACCATCTGGGTTCTGTCTGCACCGACGCCCCAAAATAAAAGCAACAGAGCCAGAAACTGATTCTGTTCTGAGATCAGAAGGTCCGACAGGAAGTTCTGGTTCTGGTTCCGTTTACAGCATGTTTGGGTTCTTAAACGATGTCGGTGATCCTCTGCTCTTCTGATCCATCCAGAGAGCAGCGCCATCTGCTGACGACTGATCTCTATTTATTCACTGGTTTGCTGATTGGCCGAAAAAAGTAAAGCCACTGTCCGCCATATTGGTACTCCCCACTCCCACAGAAACGTGCAGTAGAACTGCCTCCCTGTGCAGCATTTAGCTGCTAAAACCAGCAGTTTCCTGGCTGTAGCTGTAACTAAGCAATAAATCCATCTATAGCCGATGGATCCTATAGTTTAGTCTGTAGACTAACAGTCTCAGACTGACGTGAAGACATTGACTGAGTTAGACGCTGACATTGGGTCTAACATTAGGAAATAGAAAGTAATTCACTGGGAAATGTCAGTTCAATCCAGTTTATTTCTATAGCTCCAATTCACATCATGTCATCTCAGGTCACTTTCCAGTTCACCAGATCATCCAGTCAGATTGATTCAAAGTTTTCTATCTAAGGAAAACCAGCTGATTGCATCGACTCATTGACTCTTCAGCAATCCCTCACACTAAGCATGCTTGTAGCGACAGTGGAGAGGAAAAACTCCCTTTGAACAGAAAGAAACCTCCAGCAGAACCAGGCTCAGTGTGAGCGGCCATCTGCTGAGGCCCACTGGGGTTCAAGGAGACAGAAGCAGACGTAGAAAAAGAAGCATAGATACAAAGGCAACTGTCAACCAGCTCCACAGGCGGCCCCGTCCAGGAAACACACAGCCAGGCAGACGAGCTCCGAGCCAGCTCCCATGTCAGAGGATGAAGAGAGCACATCCAGTTAGTCACAGTAAGAAACAGGACTACACTGGAAAACAGGCCAAGCTCCAACATCTGAACAGGTGTTGAGTCACAACAGTGATATTTCTTCATATAGAAAAACAGCCAGATAATACTAGACAATTGAGTTGAATACATTCAGATGTGGAATAGAGATAGATGGAACACTGTGAAAATTATTTCCAGTTACCTATACATACAAACTATAGAGTTGCTCAGGATATGAGCATCTTGTTAATTTATATTCAAAATGAAATAATTGCTTAAAATTCATGTTCTCCATAACTAAAATGTATTGTAAAGAGAGACCAATAAAAAGCATATGACTTTTATAGAAATGTTGGCCAACTGTAAAAGTTGAAAGCAATGAGAAAGAGTTAGCATGTTCTGTACATGATGCTTGCAGTATTTAATTTCTCATTCTTTAACTTTATGTTCATATACAGCATGATGTTAAGCCAGACGTGGATAGAGTTCTGTTCAGTTCTTGCACAGCTCAGTGTATTTTGAACCGTTGTGCGACTTTATTGCCTGTTTTAGTTCTTTCTGAATTGTTGGGTCTGGTGTAATGATCATCATGATTAAAATATCTCTATATGAGTTTTCTTATTGGGTTTTAATGGTTCGGAGAATGAGTTTGCTCACAATTAGACAGGGATAAAATCCTCAAAAGGTCTCCGTTGAACCAGGTAGAGGTAGCTTGGACTGCTGGTGGCAGGTGCAAGTGCGGTTGGAGAATGAACGCTCTTCAACAAAGTTTGGTGTTCAGGGGACTGCAGGAAGCATGACAGGTAGCCTAAATTCCTGGGTATGTGATGGTTAGAGCTCTGATCTCTGAAAATACTGACACCTGCTAGATGAAGACTGCAACACATTACGACTAGTGGAATATTTGACCTGGACATATATCTAAGTTGGATATAGTTGCTACTTTCTATATTCTTCATATTTTTGACGTTGTTTGCCAAAGATATGATGAAATTATGTTGAATTAGGGGAAATTGATTATGGACTCTACCAGCATTTTAATCGATTTTCTTTAAGTGCAGTAAAACGTAATAAATAGATGTCATTGTGGTTATTCAATGAGTGGTGAAAAGGAAAGTGACAGAGAAATAACGCAATGTCTTTTTCTTATTTACGTACTGTAATGATGGTGGATTTTGAAGCACTTCAACATACAAGGCTGACCATCCCTACTATGGATCAGCAGAGAGAGTGAAAGGAGCTTAAGTTTTCAAATCGTCATTTTCCTGATTTGCCCGTATCTTTATTGCTGTTAAACTTTTTTCTACAACATCCTTTGCTCCTTAGCTCACTATTAAGTAGTGATGGTGTGAAGCTAATTGAACTCTTTGCAATTGCATCATGATCCGCCGTTTAGAGAGCTTTTGTGAACATGTCCCTACTTGTGGGCAAATAAGTTGTGTTATTGTCTTGATTTTGATTGAAAGCTTGGTCTAATATAAAATCTTTAGTATTTTTTTTAGTGTAAAGAAATAGATGAAAATCATTTAAGGTCAGTTTTGCATTTTAGTGAATAAGCTAGAGTTAATGTGTGGCAATGAGATAAATTGAAAGGTTTATATGTAATTTTTGTTACATAATTAGTTTTTCAATTTTGGTTAATGTCGGAATTTGTTTCAAAATTATTCTGTAATAAACCATCTAATTTTGGTTTTTACAATCCTTTGTATAGTAATATACAAGTTAGTCTATTAAAATGATTAGTTTATGATTCAAAGATTACTTTTTATGATATTGAATGTTATATAATAAACTGAATTAAATCAAATGCTGTTGAGTTCGGCATGCATGCTAAGCTGATTTTACTCTTCCGTGATGGAGTCACAGCCAAACAGGAACAGACCAGATGAAGCTACTATGAGAAAAAGAAGAGAGAGCAGAACGTTAGAGATTGAACTAACAGGTTCTGCAGAGTGGGAGAATAGAGATAGAATGGAACACAATGATGAAAAAGGGGTCCCTATGTCCTCCAGCAGTCTAAGCCTATAGCAGCAGAACTATAGAGATAGCTCAGGATAACCTGAGCCACTCTAACTAGAAGCTTTATCAAAAAGGAAAGTTTTAAGCCTTGCCTTAAAAGTAGACAGGGTGTCTGCCTCACGGACTAAAACTGGTAGTTGGTTCCACAGGAGAGGAGCCTGATAACTAAAAGATCTGCCTCCCATTCTACTTTTAGAAATTCTAGGAACCACTAGTAAACCTGCAGATTGAAAGCAAAGAGAGAAAGAAGTTAGTCTGCCTGTTCCTGCTGTACAATGATGCATTAGGCCCAGAAATAACATTTAATTTCTCATTATTTTCTTAATAAAAAAATAAAACTTATTTTTATTTTCCATATAATCAGCTCCTGATTAGTTAAACCAGACAGAAAATGAAGATAAAGTTCATTGGTTCCAGTTTTCTTCAGCAGGCTGCAGTTATCTGTCTGACCGCTTGGTGGCAGACTTTTATTTGCCTTCTCGTTCTAGATTTCTTGTCCCCGGAAATACGTCATCGTGGTGAGGCGGAAAAATAGATCCAGCACATGAGGGTTAGAAATATCTGCTAGAATCCAGCTTTTCTTTCTCCTGCGGCTTTTAAATCGGCGGCTTTCTGCGGGAAGACATGGAGGGCACTGACGTCATCAAACTTCCACTGACCGTGGATAAAAAGTCTCTTAACAAGAGGAGCAGATCTCCGACGTTGGACCCGGAGGGAGAGGAGCGACTGCGGCGGCAGAACGTGAAGAAGCTGGCGGTTCTGGGAGAAGAGGACGGCTCTGTGAAGCAGCTGGAGACGCTGGTGTTCGGGACGGAGGACGACCTGCTGGACAAGCTGCTGGAGGTCAGACCGGAAGCCCTTAAATGGCCTTTTACACATCAAAGTAGCGAAAAGTAGTGATGGTTAATGAGGCGTCTTGATTCGGTCTGAGAAATACTGACACCTGCTGGACATTTAAAGAAACTGCAGGCAGCTGATTGGACAGACTAAACTGAATTAATTTGATGACCTAGAACAATGATATCTAAGTTATTGGAGGTTATATTGTATTATTTATATATATATTCATATTTTTGATGTTTTTAGATGCAGCCAATAAATAATGTGTACATATAATGTGAAAATTTAGGGGGAAATGTGAATGAGGATGCTGCTGGACCAGGATTTTAAATCAGAATTTTAAAACAATAAGTGCAGTAAAAACAGTAAATAAACTAAGAGTCAATTTGAAATGAACTTTAATTCATATAAGCTGAGTGATAACTGGGAGGAAAAGTATGAAACAAAGAGAAAATTAAAACGGCTGAATCGTCCATATTATTATTCTTAATTTTAACGATAAACTGTAAAAGATGGGATTTTAAAACACTTCAAACTATAAAACGAAAGGCTGAAACCATCCCTGACATGGATGCAGACAGAGACGAGTGGAACAGGAAGCTAATTTTACCAAATATGGTCATTTTCCTGACTTTGCCCAGCATCTTTAGTTGCTGTTAAACTATTGCATAAAGCAAACACTGACCTTTGACCTCTTAAAGGTCACTATAAAGTAGTGATGGTGAGATGAAGCCTAATTGAACTCTTTTGGCCAAATTGCATCAATGATCCCCACAGTTCATGAAGCTTCGTGTGAACATGTCACCACCTACTGGTGGAGAGCAGAATTACAGTTGGTTATATGATCTATGATTTTGTAAATTGAAATGCTTGGTCTTAATAATAAAATCTTTAGTAATTTTTTTTAGTGTAAAAGAAAGAGAAAAATCATTTAAGGTTCACTGTTTTTCTGCCATTGTAGTGAAATAAGCTCAAGCAGTGAAAGTGTTTGTGCAAAATAATGATAAAATGAAAGGTTTTAGTCATTTTTGTTTAAACATAATAGTTTTTCCACAGATTTTGGTTCTAATCGGGTCGGAAGTTATGTTTTCAACCAATTTTCTGGTTAAACCAACCAATCTAATTTTTGTGTTTTTACCAATCCACCTTTGTACCTGTGCAAATAATACAAATTAGTCTCATTGCCCAAAATAATTAAGTTTTATCGCACCTTTCAAAAGATGATGATGTGTGTTATGAATTGATGTTATATAAATAAACTGAATTAAATCAAATGCCTGTCGAAGTTCCGGGCGATTCGAACCACTTCCTGAAGCGATTACAAGCTATGGCTTCTGACGTCGTCGATTTTGGCTCCTCCCCTAAAAGAATCACGCCTCAATACGCGCCTCGCAGAAACGCCCCCTCCGTTACTCGACATGTCCCGAAGCTTCGGCTCATCTCATGACATCACTACCTTTTACACACCAAAGGTTTTCCTGCTTTTAAAGACGTTGAGCCTCCCGTCATCAGCTGTGATGTTCGGTGTCTCTCCTAAACTCTAAAGATTCAGATGTTTCCTGATGTTGCAGGAGGAGGATGAGGAGCAGACCAGCTGTTTGCTGCTGGACGACGAAGAGGGGGGGGATGAAGACTCTGAGGGGGACGAAGAGCCGCGTCAGCAGCTGGAGTCCAGGAAAGCCGCCTGGGTGGACGAAGACGACGAGCTGGAGGAAGAGTCCGTCCCCACCGCCAAGCATCTTCTTCCTCCTGTTTTCACCTGTGAACCGTTCAGCAGTGTCCCTCTCTGTCTCTGTCAGGGTGGACATGAGGCACCGTTTCCGTAGAAACCTGATGAAAGGAGAAGCAGAGACCATCATGTCCAAACAGAAGCTGCAGCAGAGGATGAAGGAGCAGTGAGTTACCAGAACCCACCACAGCGTTTCTCCTTTAGCCCAGCGGGGAGCTTCCAGGCTGCTGCTGCTACCGAGTCGACCCAACGACTCGGTGACCTTTGATCTGCTAAAGAAATGTTGTCTCTAAAGGTTCAGGATTAAAACAGCTCTGTTAGCGAGTTTTAAACATGTCCGCTGGAAGATGAAACACATGAGAGCGAGAACGGTTCCCTGTGGAACTCCTGGAGACGTTTCATCTGAGAAGCAAACTTTGGTTTCAGGTTCCAGAAGTCGATGGGCGGGACTCCATCCTGGGCTCAGAGCAGCCGACAGAAACTCAAGAAGAAGAAGAAAGGTGAGTCCAGCAGACACTCCTGTAACCATAGACATTATAAACAGCATGGAGGGCGGCCATCTTGGATCAGACCACAGTTCAGTCTGCTGCTGTCAGAATGAATAGGAGGCGACTTAGATAAACGTAGAGTCAGAGATAATATTACAATAACCTGTTCCATGTCAGAAACCTGGATGAGATTTATTCAGTTATATATTTTGCTATTAAATATTAATATGATAAACAAAAAGCTTTAGATTGACAGAGGGGCGGGGTCCAGCCCGGACAGGTCCGGGTCCATCCATCACAGGGCAACACGGAGACAAACAGGACAAACAACCATTCACTCACACCTAAGGAGGATTTAGAGAAGCCAGTTAGCCTAACAGGCATGGTTTAGGACTGTGGGAGGAAGCTGGAGTACCCAGAGAGAACCCACACATGCTCAGGGAGAACATGCTAACTCCATACAGTAAGACCCCGGGCTGGGAATCGAACCCAGAACCTTCCAGCTGCAAAGTAGCAGTGCTACCCCCACTGCTCCACTGAGCAGCCAGATTATGTGTATTATATTATTTTAAAGATCTGACAAAAAATTTATATAAAGATAAAAATAACATAAAATAAATAAAATACAATTCCTCTATAGAAATATACCAAATAAGAATAGTGATATACTATATAAATATATATTTGTAAAACATAACATTATAAAATATTCATATAAAACTGTTTATCATATTAATATTTAATTGCAAACTTTGCATAAATTTCATCCAGTTTGAGTTCAGTTTAGTTTTTAATCTGAATAAATCTGTGTAATCTGACTAAAAGGTAATTAAAAATGTTTAAAGTTATATATTTTTTAAAATTAATTTTATGTTAATCTTTTTTTTACTTATTTGTCAAATCTTTAAAATGATAAATAATATTAATACACTATATATATATATATATATATATATATATATATATATATATATATTTGTAAAACATAATCTTATATTAATATAAAATAATATATATTTTACCAATAATAATATTTTCTGACTCGTCTGTGATTAAAATCAGATCAAAGGCGCCTCCTGTTCACTGCAGCTGTCTGTGGTCTGATCCAAGATGGCCGCCCTCCCGGCACGTTGGCCTCTGCTGCCAGCGTCTAATGAGGCGTCTACGTATATAACGTCCATCTATCGCCTCCTCCGGTTCCCGGTTCTGACCCGACCGTCTGTTCGCTCCCGCAGCTCATCCAGATGATGAAGAGGAGGAGGAGGAAGAGGAGGACGACGACATGCTGCGGAGGACGGGAAACTTTGTGGCGTCCTCAGAAAGTCTCCCCAGCGGCATCCTGAGGGTCGGTTTACGGACTTTCCTCGGATCTCTGGTTCCGAGCTCTGGATCCGGATTAAACCCGTTCTGTGTCCCTCAGATGAAGAAGTGTCTCCACGCCAACAGCGCCCGTCCCTCAGAGGACAAACTGACCACGGTGCAGTTCCACCCCTCGGCTCAGGTCGTCATGACGGCGGGAATGGACCGCTCCATCTCCCTCTTCCAGGTAGGGGCCGCCTCCATCCGCTGAGACCTTGGCGGTGGCGTGGCGTTAACCCGGTTCCTCTGCAGGTGGACGGTAAGACCAACCCCAAGATCCAGAGCATCCATCTGGAGCGGTTCCCCGTCCACAAGGCGCGCTTCAGCCTGGACGGCGAGACGGTGATCGCCACCAGCCTGAGGAACAAGATGTTCTACCTGTACGACATGATGGAGGGCCGGGTGGTGCCGGTCCACAGCGTCAGGGGTCAGTGTCCCCCAGCGTCCTCACACGCCTTTCTGCTCGCTGCCCTTTCACAATAAAAGCCTCTCTGTTCTAGGGCTGAATGAAGCCAGAGTCAAGGAGTTTTCCGTGTGTCCTGAGGGGGGCGCCCTGCTGCTGACCGGCACCAACGGATATCTGCACCTGCTCACGCTGAAGGTCAGTCTGCTTCTCTGGTTCTGTTCAGAACCCCGGGTTCTGAACCAGTTCTGAACCGGTTCTGAGGGACAGGGTCAGATCTCTGGCCTGCAGACCCACCAGAACCGTTCAGCTTCAGTCCGCAGCAGAGACGGATCGGGACGGTTCTGGTCCATTTGCTGAGGCCCGCTGGTTCTGCTTTGACCCGGTCGCAGCCCGGTTCTGTCGGCCCATTTCTTCCTGTTTGCTTCACCTTTCCTCGGGTTCTGCTCTCTCTCCCCTCAGACCAATGAGGTCGTCCGCAGCATGAAGATCAACGGTGATGTCAGCGGCGCCGCCTTCTCTCACGACGGCAGCAAAGTCTTCGTAAACTCAGGTGAGCGTGTGACCCCTCCTCCTCCTGTGACATCACCATCGGTCCCCCTGACCGGCTGTGTCTGCAGAGGACGGCGAGGTGTACGTGTGGGACGCGCGCAGCAGCCGCTGCATCAACAGGTTCACGGACGACGGCTGCGTGAAGGGGACGTCCATCGCCGCGTCGCCCGACGGCCGCTACCTGGCCTGCGGGTAAGCCACGCCCACTTCGCCGAGCTCCTGGCTTGTTGGCCGGCCGTTGTGCCTCGGCGCTGACCTTTCGCTCTGTTTCAGCTCTGAGGCGGGCGTGGTCAACATCTACTCCCAGGAGGCGTGTCTGAGCTCGTCCAATCCGGCGCCGCTCAGGGCGGTGATGAACCTGCTGACCTCGGCCACCGCGCTGAGCTTCAACCCCACCTCCGAGATCCTGGCCATCGCCTCGCGGGCCGAAGACGAGGCCGTGCGGCTGGTGAGCTGCCGCAGTGGGTCGCCATGACGATGGTGGTAAACCCGGGCGACGCTAACCTCCTTCTGTCTCCGCTCAGGTCCACCTGCCCAGCCTCAGCGTCTTCTCCAACTTCCCCGTCGCCAAGAGGAAGATCGTCTATCGAGCCAGCTGCCTGGACTTCTCTCCTCACAGCGGCTTCTTCTCATTGGCCAACAACAAAGGCCACGCCCCCCTGTTCAGGTCAGAAGAACAAACATCCTTATTTCTGATCATTCCAGTCGAGACAGAAGCAGAGGAGGAAACTGCTGCCCATATATGGTAGTGCTTCCTGTTCCCGTCAGCAGAGAGGCGGGATCTCATGGAGCTTAAAGATGACGGAGGCAAACAGACGGGAAGGAGCCGCTTCCCGCTCACACACCCGTGTTCTGCTGATCTGAACGGTTCTGATCAGAACCTGATCAGAACCGTTCAGATCAACAGCTCTCTGCAGACCAGGTGTGCTTTAATCGAAGCTGCAGACGGAACACAAGGGAGATGATGCGTTCAAGGCTGCAGAGAAGCTTGAAAATCTCAGCTTTACTTGATTTATTGGAAAGTTCTTCTTTTTTTTTCTTTTTTTTAAGAAATTTAAGATTTAAATTGACGCACATTAACATGATTCTCCAAGATTCATGATTTAAAAATTAAAAATCATAAAGAAAACAAAATTATCAACCAGTAAATGTCTGAACACATTTTTTTATTTTTTACTTTAAACAGAATTTAACACTGAAATAAAATGAGGTTTTTATGCATCCATGTTATACATTGACTTTTTCAATAAATAATATAAAAATTAGAAAATTTTTTCCATTTTAAAATCTAAAGTGTTTTTGGAGCAGAGAACAGCAATCGTTCAGTTTAGTTTATAGAGAATTTCCTGATTCCCATATTTTCTCAAACCCCTGAACTGAGCGTTTGTTATTTTCTTTCTTTTTTCTGTCTTAATGTTGGCAGTGGGCTTTAGGCTGCCCTGCAAGGCTTTAAACCTGGGTTTAACCAGAGACTAAGCCATTCTCAAGCACATATCAAGGAGCTCATTTTGAGCCTGGATCCAGATTTATTGTTGATTCTGTTCATGGTGGAGAATCCTGCTTCACAGCAGCAGGTTGAGCCAAACATCCTCTAAATGTGCAGGGTCATCTTTGAGCACGCCATTTCACTTTTCTTTCACCAGTTCACCACAGTTCTTCCAGCAGTCCACACTTTCTCTGCTCTCTTTTTCTCATGGTCTTCTCCTTCTTTCCCATCGCCCGGCTTGCCACTGTTTGCCTGCTGTGTCTAAAAGTAGCAGCAGCAGCAACCCAGACTGACAGCTCATTGGCTCATTTGGATCACGTGCAGCCTGGAGCCGGACGCTCCCCAGGGCTTTACCGTATTAACAGGAGAAGAGGAGCAAGGGAAATTAGGATCCAGACCACGATCCGTTAATCTGTGACCTCTGGTTTAGAGGATCAAGATGGCGTATTAGAGCCATTAAAAGACGAGAAAAATGGAATTTAAAATTGTAGTTTAAAGTGGCATTTTTACGAGAATAAACACACAAATTTAGTATTAAAGTATAAAATTTGCAAGATTTAAACATGTTAATTTGTGGAACAGTGAGACGATATAATACACTTAAAATTCTGCTACATAAAGCAGAAGCATCATTAACGGGGGGGCTAAGCGATGGAATGAGACGCTAAGATTGGCCCCATTGAAGTTTTTAAAGTAAAAACAAATAAATTTACTGGTTTTTTCTTAGTCTCTTACATTTTCTACTTGTTTCCTTTTAAAATTGCATCTTTATGATCACCTAAATTTGGGGGTTATTCTCGTAAATATGCCAATTTAAACTCCCACTTTTTTCTTTTTCTTTTTTTTTTTTCTTTGAACGTCTCTGCTACAGCATCATAAGAGGATTGACTCCACAAATTTGGTCGATGATCCACCAGGAACAAAACTAATATTAATATGGAGGTGAATCGACAAATAAAAGCTTGAAAATGGAAGAAAATAATATATTTAGTTTTTTTTCTGATGCTTTTCCTGCTGAAATCGGCTCATTTTAAAGCTTCTTTCTCCTGAAATGAAGAATCAATGTGAGGAGGAGCATCCAGGCAGCCGTCCGTTCTGAAGATGATTGAAGGTTTTAATCCTCCTTTACTTCAGCAGGCGTCCTGCTGTCGCTGCCACCAGGTGGCGCTGCAGCGCTCCTTGGTGTTCAGAGAGGAACTGGTCCGTGTTTTTAGGACCCAGTAAATCTGATGTTAATGTTTTTATTCCACTGGTTGTTGTTCAGCTATTGGAACAGTTTCCTGTTAATGTGGAAAAGCTGAGATCTCCCAGCTTTTCTGCAGCCATGAATGCATCGCCCTGCAGTGAAAATGCAGAACGCCTGAAGCGGGTCGCTCTCTGACTGACGCCATGTTCTGTTTGTGTTCAGGTTGCTGCATTACAAAGACTTCTGAGGGCCGGAACCGCGAGAAGTTCTGCAGAACATCTGGATGGAACCGGACTCTGGAACCGGACCTGGAAGAACCTGTTTGGTTCGGATCAGTCGGACCAACAGGAACCAGAACTCTGTCATCACTTGCTCTGTTTGTATGATGACTTTATAAAAGAGTTTTTTATCAGAAGGTGATCCGGTTGTTTTCCGTCTCCAGAACCGATGCGTTTGTTTCATGTCATTCCGGTTAGTTTTAGATTCTGACCCGAACCAGAACCATCAGTGAATCCAGACCAGAATAGATCCGTTTCCAGTAAAGATCCAGGAGGTTCTGATCGTCTCAGAACCGGGTTTTTATCCTGAACGCTGTTCTGATCAATCAGGGTTTTCAGAACCAGCAGTTTCTGGTTTTAGGCCCGTTTGAAAGTTTCTGATAATCAGGATCTGATCTGACCTTCATCATCATCATCATCATTAGTGAAGAAGCTGCAGAGCTTCAAACTTTCCCAGATCTGTTCCTCATTAATGTTACAGATTATTAAATAATAATAAAAACATGAAAAGAGCGACTCACCTTCTCCATCATTAATAAGCCGCCATTTTCTTAAAAACCCGTCTTTGATGAATGAAGTCACCACAACATAACGGATCAATTGTTTTTATGCTGAATAAATAAATTACATTTTAACTTTTTTTTTTCTGCTGTTTTTAATTCTGCCTTTGCTTAAATTGATGTAACAGAACAGGAAGCTGTTGGTTCCCTGATTAGAAGAATAAAACAAGCGAGTCTGAGTTTCCCATCTCCTCCTAATAGATTTATTTCTACCTGTTAACGTTTCCTTTATCAGATTTCTGTCTTTAACTCTTACTTTGGTGTTAAAATTGCAAAGATAAATTACCACACAACTCAGGAACATCATATCCCAGAACTCAATTCAGTTTATTTCTATAAATCCCAAAATAAACAACAAATTATCTGTAAAATTAATGTTTATCTAAATTATATTTCTCCTTCATTTTTAGAAAACTCTCCAGCTCCCAGTCTATTTTTTTTTTTATGTTTTGAAGCAGTTCCGCTGTAATAAATCTGTATATTTCTTAATCTTCTCATATCTATCTTCATCCTCTTTAACACTTTTAATTGATTATCCTCCAAATTCTTTCTATTTTTTTTTTTTTAAAGATTGCTTTTTGCTGCAGAAATATTTTCTCTGCAGTCCAATAATATGAATCATAGTTTACGATTAGCTTCTATAAACACAATTAGTTTTCATCAAATCAATTTCTAAATCCTTTTTCCTATAAATTAAATATCAGAAACTTTGCCCTAAAAAGCAGCGGCGGCGCCCTCTGGTGGACAGTGGCGGCATTACAAAGAGCAGTTCTAACCGGAAGTCATCAGTTCATCTCTGGGATTTTTTTATTTATTGGTGATTCTCAGGATTTCTGGAGGATTCTTCATCTCTGAAGCTCTCATCATCATCAGACTCTTCCTCACCGATCTGGCACCAATATTTTCCTGATTCATTATTTATTTTTATATGAATACAGATAAATTCACATTGAGGTAGAAAACAGAAATAGTCCTGAAGTGGTAAAAGCAGCATATTTTGATTGTTAAATGTTTAGATGAATATAATAAACTCAAATTAAATGTAAAGTTCAGTGAAAAGACTTTTATAAAATACTTACAGTAAAGAAATAAACGTAACAAGACTTTTCCAGACCAGTTTTATTTTTAACATAAAACCAGTGAAACCAGTTCCTCCAGTAAGAATATTTACTGCTTACTGTATATTATCACCTCTAAAGGTTACAGGAGCTTTAATAAATAAGCTAAGAAAGCAGAATTAGAGTCTTTATTAAAACAAAACTGTTTTTCTGTGACGTTGATCTCATTTTATTTAAACTTCTAAAAATGAATCTTTGTCCAAAAGTTGCTAAAATAATATAAATTAGTACCTCTGAATAAAAATGATGGAATGTTGATTTTTATGTTTTTTTTTTTTTTTTTTTTTTTTTTTTCTTCTTATCAGTAGAGAAATTAGACCTGCAGAAAAATAAACTTAATTGTTGTTTGGGCTCTAAGTTATTTATTTTTTCCTGGTTGCTTCCATGCAGCCTGAGCGCGCGGACAGGTAACCCCCGCCCCCCCCCTACAGGAATGTTGTCCATCCAGTCCATCCGTCCTTCTGTCCTCTCCTCCATCATCCGCAGCTGAAAGCTGACAAACCTGCGGCCCCAGAACAGGCAGTGGGGGTCAAAGGTCAGGAGGGTTTAATCAGACACTTTTCCAATCATCAAGTTTTTAGAATTTAGTAAAACTTCTAAAAACCTTCATTATTAATCAATCATAAATAATCAGTTACTGATTATTTATGATTAAATCGTTTTTAATCATTTTATTTAACAGAATTTTCCATTCAATCCTGTTTTAATCCTGAAAATAAAAACGTTTTCTGGATCTAAACTTCCTGCTGATCGTTACTCGGTACCTGAAACGTCATCAAACAGGTGAAGCAGGTGGGTCTCCACCCACAGACTCACCGGGCCACTTTCTGCAGCCGCTGGCCCCGCCCACATGTGACGCCACAGACCGGATTTTCAGGGTCTGGAGCAGAAACCGGACGAGTGACGGTGGAGAAGGTGAGAAATGGTTCCTGCTTTCGGACGGATGTAACTCCGCGTTTCTGGTGAGTTTGGTTCGGATCTGTTCGGAACCGTGAAGCGGGTCAGAGTTCTGCTGGACCCAGACTCCAGGAGAGCTGCCTGTCCTGGTTCTGGTTCTGGTCCTGGTTCTGGTGGGTCTGACGGGTTTCTGGGAGAAACTGTTGACCCATCAGGAACCTGGAAGATCTCCCTGTCTGTGTTTTTGGGTGGTGGTGGATGTGGAGCTGCTGCTGGTGAAGAAGGTCCTGGTCTGGGACAGCAGCGAGCTTCTCCAGGGAGACTGTTGGACCAGGTTCTGCTCTGATTCTGTTCAGTCAACCTGAAGCTGCTCAGATCTTCTCTGCTGGATCAGTAGTCCTGCTGCTGTTCTGGTTGGATGAACCCAGTGTTGTTGAAGTTCTTGTAGATCTGAGGAGCTTCATCAGAGCAGGTCAGAGAGAAGCTTCTATAACTGGTCCTAACAGTGTTCTTTGGACCTGAGAAACTTTTCCATCCAGGTTCAGTCCAGTCTGTAGGGAACGGGGCCACATGGCTGCAGGTTCTCAGGTTCTGGTTCAGGCGGTTTATCCTTCTGCTCCAACATGACCTCCTAACAGTTCTGTCCGGTTCTACAGAACTGTAATTCCTTTGTTAATCAACAACACTCTTCGCCATGTTTGACCTGGCCAAGATGGCCGCCGGGAAGCATGGCCCTTTCAGATCCAGGTGTGCTTCCTGTGCAGGGCTCCAGGTCTGAGAACCTCATGCTGTGAAGGTAGGAGGAGAACCGAGGAACGTTCAGGGAACCAGGATGTCCTACGCAGCCAGAACCATTGACAGCACTGGTTTCCAGTCCGCTTCAAAAACCAGTCACACATAGAAAGCAGCTAAAAGACTGATGAAATGGTTTCTAACTTAAAGGAAAAGTCCGCTCCTATTCAGAATCCAAACTTCTGAAAGTTCTTTAAATCTGAAATGATTCCATCCTGTTCAATAAATGATCAGTGTTTTTAATTCAGAGTAATTTTCACGTGAATGTGCTTTACTGGAGGCAGCCATGTTTGTCAAAGAACACTACTGCCACCTACTGGTTAGTGACGTCACGGTGCGGTATCGGCTGTTGATCAAGTCCCAGTGCTGTATCTGGTGTTTGTCACAACGCGCTATTATCCAAGTCATCTTGAAAACATTCTTCTTCCAAATGTTGGCTACATATTACGGGTTTTTTCTCTGGCCAGAAGTTCGATGGCAAATCCTCCCTCTTCAAGTTGGCGATCCAACGACCAACCCGTCCGTGGAGGATCAGGAATCAGAAAGGTGGAATAACTCTTTATTTTCACTTTTACCCGATGTATTCCAGCATCCAGCTGCCATGCACGTGGGCATTGTCAGTTTCACTATAGCTCTGGTGAATTTCAATGGTGAAGTCCTCTGGAAATCTTCAATAAGTTTAACGTGCGCACGAAATACTTATTAATAATATCAATAAATCCGCCCCTGTTTTCAGGCTTATGTTAACTGTAATGACTTATTTTGGACAGGCTGCTATGTAAACGGGCGTTTAGTCCTTCGTTTAGCTATGCTGCGGTTGTTTACACTACGCCTTTTCCACCTAAAATGACGTTTTAGCAACAAATGTCACGTGACTGGCGGAGACCGACTGGGTAAGCAAATCGAGCGCGCCTTAGACCTTACGCGCTCGATTTGCTTACCCAGTTGTCCAGGAATTATATTAATATTATTAATAAGTATTTCGTGCGCACGTTAAACTTATGGCGTGGCCACAAAGTAGTATTTCGTGCGCACAATAAACTTATTGCGAAATACTACTTCCTGGCCACAATTAAATTTTTTTTTTTGACCATGTCATCAGAGGGGCTCCGCACTTACCGCACCGTGACGTCACTGCTGGAAGATGGCAGGAGGGAGGGGCTATTATATTTGGGCAAAGATGGCCGCTCCCAGACTCAGTGATCGCAACGACAATAATTATTTTTTTACTGATTAACGCTAAATTCATTAAATCACCGCTAACCTATTAGTTTTAGGTATAAATAATGATCCATTGATTATTCCTCGCTGACCAGATTTTTCCTTTAAAAAGAAAAATAGGAATTTTTTTTTCTAAAAAAATTAACCAATTTCAACCTTAAATGAGTTTGAATATAAATATCAATTAAACTCAGAGTTGTTTCTAAGATCTAACCTCATGATTCTCTGTCCAATAAAACCTACAGAGATTTTATTCGTTTTCTACTTTTTCATTCTTTAGTCTTTCATATCGTCTAAATGATGAAACATTTTAGTGAGAAATGATCCAAAGTTAAGATGAAAAGATGCTTTTGAATGAGGATCTGCATCCAGAGCCTGTGAGTTAAAACCAATGAAGGTGGAACAACCGGATGAGTGGAGGTGTGAGGGACGCCATGTTCTGGCTAACTAAGCTAACAGCTATTAGCCCGTAGCCTCAGCTGGTTCTCTGATGGAGGATTTCATTTTCATGGCGCCGCTGGGAACAGGAAGTCGTCCAGATCCTGAAACAGGAAGCCCAGATAACCACACCGCCACCACCAGATTCAGAAGAAGCTTTATTGCCAAGAAATGTTTAACCTGAAGGAGGAATTGGCTTTAGGATCTACATATTTCCATGTGTTAAAATATTCATATTGTTTCCAACACTTAAGGGTCAGTGGAGGACCTGGTCCATGTAAGCAAAGCTTTATGGTTGGAGGTTCTGGTCCTGTTGGACCACAGCTCTGTGTCCAGGGGTGGGAGGGATCAGCTGCTGTGCTAGCTGCTCCCCCCCTGGGTCCTGGAGGTGTATACTTCCAGAGGAGAAGGAGCAGCAGCTCTGCTGGAGCCGGTCTGCAGCCATCAGAGGGTGATGGAGGGGAGAAGGTCACCATCATGGTCTCTGCTGGGCCTTCTTGGTGAGGGAGGATACGTTCAGCTGGTCTGAATTCTGGTTCTGAGAAGTTCTAGATCTTCCTCAAAGGTCCAGTTTTCTTTCATCTTCCTAAAACTCTTCAGGATCACCAAGATGTTTCTGTCTTGAATCTTCTCCCTGGGGGCCATGGACCAATCCCAAACCGGCCCCTAAACACTAACCCTCCGTTTCCCCGCTCCCGCCGAGGGTCCGCCCCATT